TTGAATTTGGTTGTGACGATGATACCTTGCTCTGATGATGTCCGTCACATGACGGACGAAAGCTTAGCACCTTTTCACGGGAATCGAATGAGATTGTCTCGGAAACAGCGTCAGCATGAATGTTCCAGTAAAGCCAATCGACAGCTGGTCAAGAAGAATCCGCCGTCGTCTTCTGGTGGAACCGACCTTCGAATCTCTTCACCCAACACTTTCACTGGCCTATCCCAAAATGTGATATATCTACTCTAAATCTAAGCTCCTTGATGAGGTGTAAATTGAATTGGTTACTTCACGCCAATGTGAACCTCGAGGCATGTAGGTGTGTATATCTGTGTGTGTTTGTGTAGCTCAACTAGTGCTTCTTATCATGTATCTAATTAAGGTTGCTGTTGTTTTCACACGTGAACACACACAGACAGACACACTTGCGTACTTCGACGTTGGTATATAACTTGAGCCAACCAAATCACTTTATATCTCTTCATAGAACTTAGAGTCAGAGTATGTATACAACATTTGGGAAAAAACCGGTAAGTTCTCCTGACCTATTGACTTGTATGTGATTGTAAGGATAACGCCATCTGCTCTGATGATGTTCGTCACACAACGGACATTTTCACCGGAATCGAAGGAGATTGCCTCGAAAACAGCGTCAACAAGAAGGTTCCAGCAAACTTAATCGTCAGCTGGCCGTCGTCTTTTGGTTGGGTCTGCCGGCGAAACTCTTCCCTAAAGCACTTACTTGAAATGGAATTAAGCCAAATAATGATGAACCATTAGATTCATCGAAACCCAAATTTTCTTTCTATATTAGTATTTATTCCGATTTTCTCGTAAAAACACATTACAACAGTACTTACAGAATTCCCTCTTATATCGATCGCTTGCACGGAATTATAGAACTTGGAACAAGCATGTCAATTTACACCAAATGGGACTTATGGTGAATAATTCAACAATATAAATCTATAATTTATGTTCACCTTCTTTCGTTTGAAGTCATGAAGGACTGGTAGTTGAATTTTCCCACAATCATATGAGCAGAACTGACGCTCCCATCGAATTTCGCATAGCCTTGCTTTCCCAAAAGGTGTTCTCATCTCTGCCGGAGTAGACTGCAGTTTTAATCTCGCCGAGGACATATCAACACCTTCAGCGGGAGTCGAACTATGACAGTGCAATCTATAATCTCGACACGTTTACCACGACGCCAAATTGCCAAGAGTATCCTTGAGTCACAATGCAAATATAAATTTCAAAGAAGGCTAAATCCCATTCCTTGGTGGGATTGTCGATGACGCAAAGTTATATTTGTTGTGGCAATCGACTACACTACTTAGTTTTCGCTTATAAGTAGGATTTCGAGACTTGCTGTAAATCCGTTATATGAGATGGGGCATAGAGCCTAGAAAATGAAAGGTTGTCCTCTTAGTTTGTGTTGCTCATCTTTCAAAGTCCACTGGCAGCAAGGTGGTTAAATCTAGCCTTGATGAGAAAATCTAGGTTGGCTGTATGACATATTGAGATTCACTTCAAAAAAATGACCATTAACATTAATTTATCGGTCCAACATGTGATCATATGTTACAGGTATTCCATATATGTAATGATCAGCCTACTGATAATAAAGAAAATATCCTTTCTTAGTAGTTAAGCTTGCTAAATTCCTTAAAACAGAAGGAAAATGTTTAGTCTCGTTAAACGTGTTAAATATAATTCATATAGGCCATATGCATCTTTTCTATCAGATCTGCTAGTAGTCACGAAAATCTACTTATAAATTGAAACCGCTGGATGACCAAGCGGTAAAATCAACGAATATATGAATATAAAGGACTGAAAGTTACTTTTGCCACAAGGAAATAATCAGGCCTTAAAATGAAATTAAATTTCATTTAGCTTTGCCCCCCAGAAGATATATTCCTCCAGGTTGTACTTCAGTTTCAACCTCGCCAGGGTCGGGAGACAGGCATTTTTATACAATATTAAATTGGTTTAGAATATTACCAGTAAAGTTGGAATAATATCTGTATTCAATTCAGTTAGTATTGGGTACATTTACTGCAGTGTACTATTTAGGTATGCCACCACTACGCTACGTTGCCATGGATGTCATTGGGTCACAGGGTTGATGTTACTTTTAAGGTCAACCCATCCTCTTACAGGGTTAATTTTGAAATGTGATTATCGATGCTGCCAAATTTGTATCCACTGTTACAATTTATGACATTATATATATTCAGATAGAGTGGGCTTCGACACTTTACATACATCATGAATACGAGTTCCAGACAAAATGTAATGAAGAACTGACAGTTGACCTGTAAATTAAACTGAAAGTTTCTAAACCTACTTATTCTGAGTGTGAGTAATGCAGTCGATTTTAATAGCAAAAATAAATTTGTTTCATCAACACATGCATTAGATACTGCTATGTGGAAATGGCCTGGCCAGCCTTAAGCTTCGTGTTTACCCTGTGACTTACTGACATACTTGGCAAGATGACGTAGTGCAAACATGTGACATTTGTACTCTTCATTACTATGCTTTGATGCCTATTTTTACCGGTAATGAGACCAGTTCCCGCGAGGTCGAAACTGGAGTCCACTCTGAATAAAAATACAATTTTGTAAGGTTAGACCAAGTTAAATTCGTTGGAATTGTGAGGCTTACTCATTACGCAAATTCTACAGATGGCATATAAAACCTTCTAATTATAAATAAAAAGCAAGTACATGTTTTATTCATCCCTAAGCCCACTATTAAAGCGTGATATGAGACAGGACTGCCCCGTGGCCCATTGGCAAGTGTGGTTATGTGTTGTGGAATTAAAGTGCTTGTTCACCCTTTGGGATGCTGATGAGGCTGAGGCAAGGTCAAAACTGTACTCTGGTCCGGATTGTGAGAAAGGACCATTTGGTTTACAAGTCAGTGCAATTCACCTGCATCGTGAAGGCTAGCCAATAAAGCATCATTCAACCATCATTTTGTGCACCCATTTAACTAACTTAAGGTTAGTCAGGTGGTTATTCCAGCTCTTCCTATAATCTCAAAGTTGTTCCATTCATTTTTCGTTCGTTAGAAGGTTTTTTAGACTATATTTAAATTAGCTATATGAAATATGTTCACCATATTTCGTATGGAAGTTCATGATAAGCAGATTCGTAGGTCAATCTCATCAGAAAACGACGGCTAAATGGCATTGTACTGCAGCCTTTTGGTTTTAATTTGAAGTTCAGGTTGATGAGGTCCACGAGACATCCTTCAAGGTCTCGGACGAAGACGAACTGAGCTTTCATTTGTCATGCCACATGACGAACATCGTCATAGCTGGGATTCATTCTTGCAAAAGACTCAAGTTAGCACTAGGCCAAGAAGACTGAGCAGATTTTTTTATATATTCTATTTATACTCGTTTAAATAAAAATATATATGCAAATGGATATATGGTTAATTAATTTATACTCGAGTGTGGCTATGTGTTTATGTAGGCTAAAATTTGTATGAAATAATTCAGGTTAAATAAAAAAACCCTTACGTCAACATCGGTTTTATCAAGGCTTAATGATTCAAGGAAAGCAACATGACCAAGATTGTGTAAGTCTGCAAGTAACCCTGGTTGAAATGATCAGCTGTATGTCTGTACACGTGAAATTCGGCTAACAAAATTATCAGTTCGAATCCGAAACTCGCGTTTTTTTCATTCAAGGTAGTTGAATTTTCTCACAACCCTATCTACAGCCATCAAGCTTCATTTGAATTTCACATCGCCTTTCATTCCAAAAGATATTCCCATCCAAGAAATAGTAGACCGTAAGCTCGACCTCGCCTAAGTCTTATAAACAATCCCAGTGGGACTCGAATCATGACACTGCATCGTGTGATCCCGATACGTTACCTACTACGCCACATTGTGTCACAGGGCAGATGTGAATTTCAAAGCATATCAGGCATTTCCCGATATCATATTATTTGCTGGGGTTGTCGATGAAGCAAAGTTATTTCTGCTAAAGCAATCTATTTACAAACGAAAAATAAGTAATGTAGTCGAGTGCTATTGCAAATATAACTTTGCTTCATCGACAATCCCACCAAATAATGTGTTAATGGAACATTTATGGCCTTCCCTAAAATTCACATCTACCCTCGTGGCAGTCTGGCCTAACAGTCAATGTTTCGAGATCGCTGCATTGCCATTGTTCGAGTCTTGTTGGGGGTGCTGAGGAGACCAATTCAAGCGAGGTCGAAACTGCAGTCCACTTCAGCTGGGATAAAAGTACCTTTTGGGTAGTAAGGATTTGTAGAATTCAGTGGAAACGTAAGATATACCCATATCCTTGTGGGAAAGTGCAACTAAGAGTATCTTATTATTTTAAACTAAATGCAGTCGCATTAATTATAAAGCCCTGTTAATAATTTTGGTTACCTGATGTCAAAACTAAATATATGAAGAAGAAACAAGTTATTAAATTCTGACTGTAAAAATCGTCCACTTTCTGAAAGTTCTGGCCTGATAATTTGTTGAATTTACATTATCCTCATCAGCTTTAAATGGACTTCCAAAATGCTGCCTCTCAATTTCAACAAAATCCAATTAGATGTTTGTATGACTCTATATTGCTGCATGCTCATCTTTGCTCTACTAAACTTAAAAGGCGCTTTAATCATATCACAAAAGTATAAAACTATCATGGGATAACAGACAAATAATAGCTAAAAATAGCCAAACTCACATTTGTATTTATTTATGGGAGATTGTTTTCTAATTTATCCCCGTTTGCTTCACTATTTCTGGGAAAATAACAACGAAATCATCACCGATTCACTTTATAATAATTCAAATAAGCCATTGATCAGCAGGTGAGTTAAGCAATGCTTGACGTTATTAAACGGATTTTTGGTGAATGCCAAGAAATTTTGGGATTTCAATATTGCCCAAGTAATAGGCTTCTATGGCGAAATCAGTTGTGCTCCGTGTCAAGCTATTTTAAAATCCTAGCTGTCCCTTCTTGCTGTGAAAGGGAAGTTTGCAGTTTCTTATAACGTCTATGCACTGAATCCAAGTCAGCCCAATCAGCATCATCATTATTGTAATCATTCCATAATGCCCTTGTCAGTGTGTATGCATGTATATAGGTCCAACGGTAAACTTTGATATTAACGTCGATGCCTATATCTTTTCAATTACTTCACAGACCAAAGTAAATCATGCCAGTTTCTTCATCTGGCCAAACCGAACTACAGAGGCTACCTGCTTAAAGTGAATTTTTTGACTTATCTTCCAAAAGGTAAAGGGATTTAGGGGTAGGCAATTTTATTTATTTTAATTTCAATATTTATAGCCAGCATTATCTATTTTATTCTTACCAGATTGTGTCTACTGTGCACCCATTCAGACTAATTTTGACCTTTATCCTCAACAATTATTCGATGTATTCTCAAATTGTTTAAGTTAAATATAAGAGCTGTATTCACCCTACTTCGTTTAAAGTGCTGAGTGGACCTTAAATTTTAATTGGATTTCACATATCCTTGCTTCCCAAAAGGCGTTCCTATCCAGGCTGAAATGGACCCCAGTCTCGTCCTCGCTTATGTCTTATCCACACACCCAGCGGGACTTGAACCATAGCTCTGCAGCCTATACACTCAAAACGTTAACCACTACGTCGCATTGCCACAAGTGCCCTTGGGCCACAGGTCAGATGTGAACTTCAAAGAAGGCCAAACATTTCCTCATATAACATTCTATAGTGAGATTGTCGATGAATCAAACTTGTATCTGCTAAAGAAATCAAATATATAGCATGTTTGCGTGTCGAGATTATACGCTGCAGTCTTTTGGTTCGAGTCCTGCTGGGGCTGTTGATAAATTTATGGGAAAATTCAACGAGCATTCCTTCCTCACCTTAAACGAAATAGAGTAAAAACGTAATAAAATAAATAGATAAATAAATAAATATATATATATATGAACTCTGGTAGTCTCAAATTACCGACTTGTAAACGAAACATTACATATATATTTTATGTGATATAGCATTTTTAAAAGCAGTACAAAAATTAATACCCTCCAAGCTTCTGGGCAATCTTGTTTTTATTACTTGCTAACAATGTAATAACGTAGTAGACACAAATTTTTAAAATCGCTATTGAAATCGAGCTTCATAAATCCCTAGTACATCCATTGTGTCTATCATCCCTTACTAAAACTTAGGTATACTCCTTTATACATGCAATCATAATTCTATTCTCCATATCCCGCATCGTGTCCTAAGGCGCCTTCATTTCATGGTAATATTAATCTTAATATTGAAAAAGCATGAAATCATTCATTAATCATCCTTTACTATTAGCTTTATCTCCTATTCTCATTTCACATAAAGCATGAAGTATAGATTCGAAGGTCGATCTTGTCAGGAGACGACGGCTGATTCCCGTTGACCTGACGCCGTTAAGCTTTATTCGACGCTTGGGCAGATCCAGTCCATGAGACCTACTCCCTCGTTTCGGATGACAACTGGCTGAGCTTTCGTCCATCATATGATGGGCATCATCAGAGCTGGTAGTCGTCCGTATAAAAGTGTTAGGTTGACAAGCACCAAGTCAATAAAGATATCCGGCCTTATCTTAACTTTTCTATATACTCATGAGTAAAAAATAAAACTAAATGGACAAAGATATATATAGAAAGGTTTGGCTCATTTTATTTAATATAGTTTATGCTACATTTGCTCGATTGTGGGGGTGTGTACATTAACGTATATAAATCAGAATGAATCCAAAAGCTTAGCTCCATGTTCTGATCATCAAGGCCTAATGCCTCAAGAAAAAGCCAAGACTGAGACTTTGTAATCAACAATGGTTGAGAGAATAAGATGTAAGCTTGAAAGCGTGATTGTCTTTTTTTGTCATTATGATTTAGAACCGGTATTGCGTATAGACGTTAAGACACACAAACACACACGAACAAAAGTAGCATGACCAATAGGAAAGATAATTAGTCAAACCACTATATCTATCTATGCCTATTCATCTTCGTTTTTTATTTGTGCGTATAAATAACAGGTAGAATAGAGCCAGACATTCTTATTGACTTAGTGTTTTGTTAACTTGAGGCTTTTACAAAAATGATTTCCCGCTCTGATGATGTCCAGCAGCCCATTTTCACCTAAAACGAGGTAGGACTGCGCCAACTTGAACGTCGTATTAAAGCCAAACGGCTGCTGTACAACGTTAATCTGTTGTTGTCTTCGGATGATATCGACTTTCATGCAATTTTATTCAAAATAAAATTTTCCCCAACAATTCTAGTAAATTTTTCGCATTTAAGTATTGTCTCGAGACTACTAGTAAATCAGTAATATGAGATAAATTCACCCAATCTCGTTTAAGGTGATGAAGGACTGGTAAAAGAAAAATTTTCCCACAATGATATGAGTAGAAGTGACGATTCTATTAAACTTCACATAGTCTTACTTTCCCAAAAGTTAGTCTCATTCAGCGGGAGTGGACTGCAGTTTCGACCTCGCATCGGTCTTATCAACACCCCCAGCGGGATTCGAACCGTGACAGTGCAGAATGTGAGCCTGACACGCTAACCAATCGGCCACATTGCCATGAGTGTCTTTGGGTCATAGGGTAAATATGAATTTCAAGGAAGGCCAGGCCTTTCGCCATATCATATTCTTTTGGTGGGATTGTCGATAAAGCAAACGTATATTTGCTATAACAATCGACTACGTTACTTATTTTTCGCATTTAAGTAATGTTTCGAGACTACTAGTAAATCAGTAATATGAGATGTATTCACCCGCTGGGGATGTTGATAAGACCGATGCGAGATTGAAACTGCAGTCCACTGAGAACAAATTTTGGGAAAGCAAGGCCATGTGAAATTCAATAAAACCGTCAGCTCTACTCATATCATTGTGGGAAAATTCTTCTACCAGTTATTCATGACCTTAAACAAAATAGGGTGAATACATCTCATACTACTTATTTACTGGTAGTCTCAAAACAATAATTAAATGCGAAAAATAAGATAAGGTAGTTGATTTTTAAAGCAAAAATACTTTTGCTTTATCGACAATCCCACCTGGATGAGAACAACTTTTGGGAAAGCAAGGCTTAGTGAAATTCAATGAAAACGTCAGCTCTACTCATATCATTGTGGGAAAATTCTTCTACCAGTCATTCATGACCTTAAACGAAATAGGGTGAATACATCTCATATTACTTATTTACTGATGGAAGCATTTATTTAGGATAAAACCATAGTTCAACGCCATTATGCAAGCCAAAAAATACAGAAGGCTACACCAATTGGATCGTCATAGCTATAAAAAATAAGATTTATATTCCAAAAATATTTTTAAAGTATGTAAAAAAAATTTTAATTCCGCTGATTTCGATATGAATCACTGCGCTGCTTTTTGAAAAGATGATTGGCTTTGCGTTTATAGTTTTTACCCAAATTTTAAGCATAGTTATTATAAATACCTCTAGTTTTGACATGATAAGGTGGTCGATTTTTAAAGCAAAAATACTTTTGCTTTATCGACAATCCCACCTGGATGAGAACAACATTTGAGAAAGCAAAGCTATGTGAAATTAAATGAAAACGTCAGCTCTACTGGTCATTGTTGGAAAATTCTTCTACCAGTCCTTCATCACCTTAAACGAAATTGGGTTTATTCACCCCAAATTCTAGTTTAGACTGGATGTGAAAAGCAAAATTGATTGCAATTCTTAAGAAAATTTATCATATGGTTGATGTAGGGATGCCAAATGGACAGTAATAATGGGAAAAATACAATGAATACAATCCCATGACATTTCTATTATTCTCCTTCTATCGATAGGCCTCTCAAATGGCGATGTCCTGTCAGCTTATGCATCCAGCTGGCCTCTACACCTCGACATCTGCTATGCCTCCTTGCCCTGTCTCGTTGTCAACCTACGGTCCTGTGGATGTTGACGGACAGACACGCTCTTCCATGTCGGCCGCGGATATTTGGTGTCAACCGAGAGTATCGGTCGGAGGAATGCCCTGTCCTGACGGTCTTCCAATCTGTTGGGGCGGCCCAATTCCTTGGCAAGCCTTCTACTCACTTCCCGGACTGCCTCTGTTGCCAACTGACACAACCGGGGCTCTCCAAAGAGGAGGTCCGCTGGCAGTGGAATTGAGTCCCAACAACACAAGAAGTCTTCTGGCTGGCTGCGTAACGGGAAATGGAACAATTGAACAAGCAGGACAGGGAGGATCAGGAGGACCGATGATGGGAGAATCGCTCGAGTTCGTTGGAGGTGCCATGAGTAGGGGCTCGGGAAGAAAATCCTCCGGGGAAGCTGAAGAATTGGGCACCACATGTCTGGCCGGCATGACGCGTGCCTCAGGCGACAGTCTAGACGCCTACGAGCACACCTTTCCTGACAGTTCGACATTTCAACAACAGGTTTGAGCCAGTCTCACTTCATATGAAAACATTTTATGACTGGATGGCATGAGCTTAACTTTGGCTCAGATAAGGACAGAATCACACAGAGATTGAATATTTGCTTAATTGCTTATCATTTTGCCAGAATTCGGCGATAAAAATAGAAATGACACGAAACATACCTGCATAAGGTGTACTGATGAGACGCATGATAGACTGAAATTGTAATCCATTCCGGCAAGGCTAAGCGAAATTCAATGACAGTACGAGGTCTAGTTATTGTATCGTAGAAAAATTCATTATAAGCCAAACATTATGTTCATACTCCCAGGTACAAGGCACAGCATATCATTGTATCACCTTTATAAGTTTCTTCGGGCAATTGTTATGGCTATGTCTCTTGACGATGCCCATTGTGGCGAATATGAATCAATGTAAAATTGTTAAATCTGAAAATGTGATTGATAATTGCAAAAAAGAGGGCCTTAAAGGAGGCAAAGTAAATATGCGTTTAAGCAGCATCTTCGTGATCAACTGGCCTCCATTTTAAATAAGATTGTGTGAGGAAGAGATTCGAAGAAACGACAAAATAATCCTCTTGACCAGCTGTCGGCTGTATTTAGCGGAACCCTATTGCTCACAGTCTCCGAGGCAATCCCCTCCGATTCGAATAAAAATGTGCTTTCGAACATCGTATTACGGACATTATCATAGCATGAAAACTCACCTTCTTATAC